TTTTTTTTTTTTTTTCACATCTGCTTCGTTATTTCCAACCGCCAAAACCCCAATAAATTGAATTTAAATGTCGGGAAAATGGGAAAATGGGAAAGCCAAAAAGAAGAGTGAAGTTGTGAAGGGAAGATCAAAAACCTTCCAGAATTTTAAGGAACTTTAAAAATGAATTTTTTTTATAGGGATAGAGAGGGGAAAGATGAGAGGAATGGTTTTAAACTGGGCCAGGACTGGGGTAAATGAGATTTTAGGAAGAAAATTATTTTTTTTAAATGATTTTTTATAAGGATAGAGAGGGAAAAGATGAGGGGAATGGTTTAAAACTCACCCAGGACAGGGGTAGATGAGATTTTAGGAAGAAAGTGATTTTTAAAAATTATTTTTATAGGGATAGAGAGGGGTAAAATGAGAGGAATGGTTTTAAATTGACCTAGGACAGAACTAAATAAGATTTTAGGATGAAAATGATTTTTAAAAATTATTTTTTCATAGGGATAGAGAAGGACAGGACAAAGGGAATGGTTTTAAACTGGGCCAGGGCAGGAGTAGATAAGATTTTAGGAAGAAAATTATTTTTGAAAATTATTTTTTCATAGGGATAAAGAGGGGTAAGATGAGGGGAATGGTTTTAAATTGACCCAGGGTAGGACTAGATGAGATTCTAGGAAGAAAGTGATTTTTAAAAATTATTTTTTAATAGGAATAGAGAGGGGAAAGATGAAGGGAATGGTCTTAAGCTGGCCCAGGGCAGGAGTAGATGAGATTTTAGGAAGAAAATTATTTTTAAAAATGTTTTTTTATAGGGATAGAGAGGGACAGGACAAGAGGAATGGTTTTAATTGACTCAGGACAGGGTTAGGTGAGATTTTAGGAAGAAAAATATTTTTAAAAATGATTTTTTTATAGGGATAAAGAGGGGAAAGATGAGAGGAATGGTTTTAAACTGGGCCAGGACAGGTCTAGGTGAGATTTTAGGAAGAAAATTATTTTTAAAAATTATTTTTTCATAGGGATAGAGAAGGACAGGACAAAGGGAATGGTTTTAAACTGGGCCAGGACAGGGTTAGATGAGATTTTAGGATGAAAATGATTTTTAAAAATGATTTTTTAATAGGGATAAAGAGGGGAAAGATGAGAGGAATGGTTTTAAATTGACCTAGGACAGAACTAAATAAGATTTTAGGAAGAAAATTATTTTTGAAAATTATTTTTTATAGGGATAAAGAGGGGAAAGATGAGAGGAATGGTTTTAAATTGACCCAGGGTAGGACTAGATGAAATTCTAGGAAGAAAATTATTTTTGAAAATTATTTTTTCATAGGGATAAGAGGGACAGGACAAAGGGAATGGTTTTAAACTGGGCCAGGGCAGGAGTAGATAAGATTTTAGGATGAAAATTATTTTTTAAAATTATTTTTTCATAGGGATAGAGAGGGGAAAGATGAGAGGAATGGTTTTAAATTGACCCAGGGTAGGACTAGATGAGATTTTAGGAAGAAAGTGATTTTTAAAAATTATTTTTTATAAGAATAGAGAGGGACAGGACAAAGGGAATGGTTTTAAGCTGGCCCAGGGCAGGGTTAGGGTGAGATTTTAGGAAGAAAATTATTTTTAAAAATGATTTTTTTATAGGGATAAAGAGGGGAAAGATGAGGGGAAAGGTTTTAAACTGACCCAGGACAGGGTTAGATGAGATTTTAGGATGAAAATTATTTTTAAAAATGGTTTTTTATAGGGATAGAGAGGGACAGGACAAGAGGAATGGTTTTAAATTGACCCAGGACGGGACTAAATAAGATTTTAGGATGAAAATGATTTTTAAAAATGATTTTTTTATAGGGATAAAGAGGGGAAAGATGAGAGGAATGGTTTTAAATTGACCTAGGACAGAACTAAAATAAGATTTTAGGAAGAAATCCTTCCCACATTCCTTGAGAAGCAATTTTTCCCTGGCTAGAATGGAGGATGGATTTTGGGTTGAATTATTGCCACGACCAGGGAGCTTTCACGGTGCCATCACACACATTCAAAAAAAAAATATTTTAATCATCACATTAATAATATCTTTATCTGCAATAAAATCAGCCACAAAGACAATTCCCAAAAAAAAAGAAAAAAAAAAAATCCCTGAAAATTTTCTGTGAACGACAAACCCGGCCCATTTTCCACGAGGTTTTTCCTTATTTTATTATATTTTATAGTGCCAGAAAGCAGGAATTTAATAAAAAATTGCCGAATTTTTGGAAGGAAATTTGGTTTTTTTAGTGAAGGAAAAGAAGCAGGAATTGTTTCTGGAAAACAAAAAAAAAATGGAAATCTCTCAGAGCTGATTCCAGACTTGAAGAATTTTTAATTTTTTTTTTTTTAAATTTTTAAAAATTTTATTACGAGGTTTTTTAAGGCTTAATTGTTCAATTAAGAACTAACACTTCGATTATTTTGAATTTTCACACTCACGCCCCCGCAGTGCCGCATTTTTTTTAAATCCAATTAAAAAAATGATTACTTAGACTTCGGAAGAAAAAAAAATGAAAAAAAAAAAAATTTTTTTCCTTTAAAACTTTTCCTTTTTAGACATTGCTCCATTTGAAAACTTCCAATTTTAAATGTGTTGCTGTGTGATATCACACGATTTTATTTCGATTGCACACTGGTGATTTGAATTTTATTATTTAATGGTGGAAGTTTTTTTCCAAAGCCTTAGGTTAAAAGTCATTTTTTTCAGCACAGAAAATTTAAAAATCCCAATTTCCAGGGTTTTTTGGGGCCACATTTTATGCAAAAATATTGGTTTATTTTATTTTATTTTACTTTATTTAATTTCATTTTATTTTACTTTATTTCATTTCATTTTATTTATTTTATTTATTTTATTTTACTTTATTTCATTTTATTTTATTTATTTTTAAATTTTATTTATTTTATTTTACTTTATTTTATTTTATTTTATTTTTATCGTTTTTATTTTATTTTATTTTAATTTTAATAATCAAATATATTACTATTAACTACTATTCTTATTGTTGATTTTGTGATTTCTTCTTCTTATTGCTGTTATTATTGATTATTATTGTTGTTATTATTTTTATTTCTTTTTAAATTTTTAAAAAAAATTTTTATTTTTACTCCGTTTGGGAAAATCCTCTGAGTTTGCTTCTTGCAGATGACTTGAAACAGAATTTTGATTTTTTTATTTTTTATTTTTATTTCCTTTGCTCTTACCTCTACCCTGTCCACAGCACAATTTTATAATAAATATTTTATTTATTCCCTTGCATTAAGATGATCCTTTACGTTTCCCATTAAAATCTGGATATTTCCCTAAATATTTCCAAACTTTTTATCTTTTTTAAATCCCTGGGTGATTTTATTGTTGATTTCAGTAAAAATTCAGAATTCTCTGAAATGTCAACCTGTAAAACCTTCAATTTTATCCCCCCAAAAAAAGAGAGAAGAAAAAAAAAAATCAAAATTTTGGAGTCCCTACATCAAAGAAATTCAAATATTTCTATTTCAATTTTTTTCTATTTCTGCCCCAACCTTTGCTGTTTGATTATTGTGAGGAAGGTTTGGAAAATTTCCTTTTTAAAAGGTGAAAAAATGTGAATTAATGAGCACGAAAATCACATTTCTAACATTTCTCCACAAATGGTTTTACCACACACGGAGCAATTGCACTTTAATTTCATTTATTTTCCATTTATTTCCATATATCTAATATAAAATATAAAATATAAAA